CTTCAGGGCAAAGTATGTACGTAGCAACCTTTCTCCCAAAACATGTAATCACTACATGCTTTGCCGACTATGTAACTAGTACATCCGGTGCGATTCGGCTAGCTTTCGACCTCCTCCCCTGGCCTCAAGTCATTTGTCTCTCAGGTCTGTCATTGGTGGTGTCCGCCCTTTTCCGTTGGCCATGCAACATTTCTATTCATTTGTCTCCCAGGTCTGTCACTGCCAGTCCGGCATTTCTATTCTTTCGTCTCCCAGGTCTGTCACTGGTGTGTCCTTGTCTATTGGCCATGAAGCATTTCTATTCATTTGTCTCCCAGGTCCGTTACTGCTGGTGTCCGCCCTTTTCTGTTGGCCATGTAGATTTCCTATTCATTTGTTTCCCAGGTCTGTCACTGCTGGTGTCAGCCCTTTTCCGCTGGCGACGCAACAGTTCTATTCATTTGTTTTCCAGGTCTGTCACTGCTGGTGTCCGCCCTTTTCCGCTGGCCATGCAGCATTTCGATTCATTTGTTTCCCGGGTCTGTGACTGCCCGCTGGAACAGGTTCACCTGTGAAAGGTTCTTGCTCCTTTGAAAGGGGTGCGTGATTGTCTCCGGGATTGCATTCCTGCCGCACTGTGTAACTCTCTCAGCTTTGTTTTCCTTTTCGGGCAAGCGTTGGATGAATGACCGGATTGGATTTCGGCGGGGTGGCAGCGATCTCTCTGTTCAGTTGGGACGGAGGGCATGCGTCAGGCACCAAAAACCAATTTCGTGTCACATCCTTCGCTCCTCATGCTTTTATTTCTTGTCCTCACGTGGTCAGCTCCCCGCTGATTGAGCAGCATGACCAGCATCATGTTCGCACTTGAAGAATAAATCCCCAAAAGGGTTGCTGTTGGGGCCTGTCAATTCTTTCTTAAGATGTGTCCACCCGCTCTGTACGCAATCCTTTGTCTTCCAGCTCTGGACGTCGCAAGCTCTAGTTTCGATTTGAAAAGCACAAACTGTTTGGGGTCTACGGTGGTGTAATTTTCTGCTCTTGCACAGACTCGTTTGGTGCCGCAAGCGTGGACCGATCGAGAAGCGAAGTGGGTTTTGGCAGGGCAGGTCGCCTGCTTTCCCCGAGTTGGATCTGCTCTTCTCTCTTTGCGCAGGATCTCGCAAATCTCCTTGAAGTCCTGAGGGAAACAGGCAGTAAAACAGCTTGCAGTCCTCCACATGTCCATTTTAGAGTCCTGTGCCTGTGCCCGTGATGTTGGATCATGTCTGTACCTATATAACAAGATCATCAAAACCATTCTTGGTCCAATCCAATTTGGGGAAGTCCTCCACAGTTCCAACCTTCCCACGGTCCTTGAGGTAAGCAAGGATGACCTTCAGCTGTCTGATGGCATTCTCCTGGAGCCAACTCTGTGTCTTCAGGTCAAAATGCCACGTCCTCTCTTTTTGGAACGCCAGTTTGTCACGGTCTCCTTCTTCTTCCTGAAGGAGTCTTTGCTTTCATCTTGGCCTTCTTCGCCTGACTGGTGGAGAACTGGTGCTGGGCCTTCTTCGGTACGCAACGCGGGCAACCATTCACCACAAGATGTGTTTTTGATTGTTTGGGCACGGAAATTGGCACAAATACTGAGATATACTAAGCGGCATAGCGTGGTCGATGGAAACGGCAGGCCGTTGGCAAACAAAGTACTCAAACTGTCCGTGCCTTCTTGCTTGCCCTCATCATCAACGGGTGTCTGGGCATGCTGAATGTTTTTCCTGCGGCCATGAAGACATATGCTGAAGAAAACCTTTCTATCCCACTCGTAACTGCATCATGGAAGAAAAAGAAAGGAAGAGGCAAAAGAATCAGCTGCCGGCCTCTTGGTTGTACAGCGCAAAAACAAGTTTTCGACCTCAGCAATCCACATCACTGCTGGTCACACTTCCTTCAATTGTTCCGGATGCCACTTTGACATCATGCTTGGACATTGGGAGTGTACATGCATCGATTTGGTGATAGTCCAAGAACTAGAAGCATTGCCATCGTTAGGACAATTGGTTCGGAGAAAACATTATGAACAAGCCCGACCAGTTGTCAGTCAGCACAATGCACCAAGCGTGGTGTGGAGACTGTTTGGGAGAGCCTGTTGTCCAAGTTTGGGCCTGATCACTGTGTGCATCCAAAGTGAAGTGACCAATTACGAAGGCATCGCTTTTGGAGCATCGATTGACAGCGAAAAAAGCATCTAAAAGAACTGTTGCCCTTTCCATGTTGTTCCAATATCAGTTCCTTTTTTCTGGGGTGCTGGCGGACATAAGGATCTGCCCAAATTTCAAGGAGTGCCTCACAATCGAAGGTGCCATCGAAGGTGCCATCGAAGATGCACCAGGAGAAAATGATGCGAAAGAAGGGTTGATGGAAAAAGCAGGATGCCCATCGCTGCAAAACATCTCCACCTTGCTTTGGTATCCAAGTTGATCATATGCATACCCAAACTTAAGGAGTTTTCTGTAAGTTCCATATGTTGCACAAGACTTCGGTCTTTGGACCAGAATGACCAGAACATACCACCGCTCCACGCATCTTCCCCACACCTGGAGTCTTCCTGCGTTGCTTCGTCGAAGTCATGTTGCAGCTGTTGGCGCTTCTGGGCGAGGCGCCAAAGTCTGTCACCGCGACGAAAACCGTAGTGTTCGGAGGGAATCTTTTGTGCTTTGTTATGCTTTGTTCGGAGATGATATATATATATATATATAACATACATATATATCAAGTAAACCAAATGTCAGAGTAAAAACAACAGGCAATTCGTCATTTTTTGCTCACCCGACTGATTAGGAAGAAAATGGAAGAGTCGAGATCCATTTCTCAGATCTTTCTGACCAACTGATGGGCCCAGAAACTCCAGATCTGCTCGACCGAAGTCGCTTGGTTGACGTCGACGTTGATTGATCACAATAAGCAAGGGATGGACACCAGGTGTGATTTAGGTGTTCTATGGCGTTCCTGCACCCTGGAGGGAAGCAGGATTGGCGAATCGTGTTTGGTGCAGCGGTGTCTTGTCTAAGTTGCCAATTCCGCTGCTGGTCTTGTCCAAAAACAAAACCCTCCAGACACGATCCAACTGGAGTGTCTCCGTCACGAACTGGTCTCGACCCGATGACGCACCTTCTGGCATTCATCCAACTCGATTTGGAGTAGTGCGACCTGCAGGACAGCATGAAGGTGATGCAGGAGACCAAAGCCAAAGAACAAATTGTATGCCATGAATTGCGCTGCCCTTTGCTCCTAGTAGCTCAATGCTCCTAGTAGCGATGCCAGGAGCCCCTAGTACCGTCCTTGCTCCTAGTAGTGATGCCCTTTGCTCCTAGTAGCCATGAAGTGCCATGATACCTTATTCCGCAGCTCCATCATCTCCATTTCCTGGTCTTTCCTTGGCAAACGATCCGCGCAAGCCAACAGCGAAGAGATTCCAAGAGTATGGTTGACAGGTAGAACTTCGTCACTTCGTCTCAGAATTCGAGCGGTACAACCTTCCCAGATTGACGATGCTTTCTGAGGGAAAAACTGGGTCATTCTGCGTCGCTTAGCTGCTCGAGCGCTGCACGCTCTAAGGTCGGGTCTTGTAGGTCTGGAACTCACCTCTGAGCTCCTGGGGAACTTGGGACTGGAGCTTGGACAGGCATTGCGCTTTTCGCCGACAACCAAAACCTGGCCTAGTAACATGGGGCTCTTGCCTGTTTGGAAGGCCTATGCAATTCATCTCATGCAATGAGAATCGAGCCTTTTCAGCTTCTAGCTGCTATGACAGCTCAAGGTTGGTGCTTTTCTCGGCATGTGATTCCCCACCGTTCGGAAGCACAGGTCGACCTGTTTGACTTACTGCAGCAAAGGCCGAAGACTATTATGTCTCACTGGGCGCAGTTGGGTGAATGTTCTGAAAGAACTAGAATCGCTTCTCGTTTCTGTCAGGCTTGGAGCAGCATAGTCTTTGCTTTGCATGGCCATGATGACTTGTGAGATCTGTCGTTTCTGCATCTTTGCCAGCTCCTTCTTTGAGCACCACACAACATCCAAGTCTCCAAGTGGTTCCAAGTGGCCCTTCTCTGAGGCTATGTGTATGTAAGCTGATCTCCCAGATCCAGCTTCGAGCAGCAACTGTCAACTTCCTAGTGGCCCTCTGAGCTGCAATCCACACAGCAGTTACCGCCTCATCGCTAGCAACATCTTTTTCAGCTTCCTTAAGCAGCACACGGGCCTGTCTCAAATACTGTGTACCAAGAAAGTTCATCTCAGCAGCGGAGACACGTCCGAGTGGCCCATCTGGGCTGCAGCGGCATCGCTGCCCAGAAGCGGCTCAGCGGTTGCTGCATCCATGTCGGCTCGGACCGCGGCTCGGACGGCGGCTCGGATGCGCGTCGATCCAACTCGACTCCTTTGCCTCTTTCGTCCGGATCCCATGGCCTACATTCTTCGCCTATGCTTCATGCAGTTCATCGTTCAAGTTCTCGTCAGCGCACAAGTTCAGCTGGAGTACTGGTTTCAAAAGCATATCATCCTCCAAGACTCAAGACTATCTCCTGCTCCGAAACACCGTGTGTCTGAGGAGCATTTTGCTAAAACCTTGGGAGGCCCACATTTTCATGTTGAGCAAGGAATTGCTTCAGATCCCTAATGGTCGACCCAAAATCCATCATGAAACGGAGCTGATCCGCATCACGCTTCGCAATCGTCTCGCCAAGAAATCACTTCCGTACTTGACATACTGTCGCGCAATGCAGGTATTTGCAAGCGAAATGCTGCAGCCAAGAACATCAAAGCACAGCACAGAATAAATCCAAGATCTAACCTTCAAATGATCAGTCTCTGGGAGCCTATGCGGCTGTGACGCCAAGAAGTGACACCAAAACCGGATTCAGACTGGAAAGCCATGGCGGGTGAATTTACAACTGCAGTTTCTATATGAACTGTTAAGCATCTACCTGTCTTTCTTCAACTCACATGGCTCAAAGCTGAGTAATCAGAACTGCTCTAAGTCAGTCCTCAATCTTCGTCTCCGACTCGATCTGCATCTCAGAGAGGTCAGCATTGGCACTTTCCAAAGTATTGTGCCGGTCCACAATCTCCTGCAGGAATTACAACTTGGAATGGGCAAAAGAAAGTTGTGGGGTAATGGTGGAAGCTGGTGGCCAGCAAAAATGTCTAGATTCTACAATGGCCCAAGACCGACCGATTTTATGGATCTCTTCCTTGTCCGTGGCCTCTTTGAGCCAGCCACAATGTGTACTACAACATGGGCATTGCTGCTCCGCTCAGCACCCAACGACCGCATATCCTGATTGGCAAATACCAATCCTGAAAAGAAATGTTGCATGCGTTCGTTGGGTGCTGTAAGATCCTTTCCATCCACGTGCATTGGGCGTCTCAAAATGACCCAGACTGTTCCAACCAAAGATGCACAACCCGGCACCACATGTTTTGACTAAAAGACTCTAAAAGTTCTGGAAACTCTAACCAATAGGCGTCCCTCCAATTTTCCAAGTAAATACCGGCAACTCTGACCTTTCCATCACCAATACACGCTCGGCCGCCTACTCTGCCTACTCCGCCTACCGGATCTCGGACCAACATGGACGAGGCACTGAGATCTCCGCATAGTCGTCGCAGGTTTCTTTCACAAGCTCCAAGAACTCCTTTCGTTGTCGCTGCGAAGAACGAAAACGAAAAACAATTCTCGTTTCACAAAGCAAGCCCGACTCGGAATCTCGCAAGAAAACCGAGAAGGCCGAGAAGCTCCTTGCTGCGACAACAAACTATATATCTGTGCTGTGATGTATTCTGAGAGGTTAGGAAGCTCCATAGCCGAAGTGGGAGAGTGCACCAGCCAAGTGTTGCGATCGCTAAGAGCAGTAGTTTAGGGCCATTGGTCCATAGGTACTTTTTGAAGGTTCTTCAGTTCAAGCCATGTAAAGTCATTCCACTTCTGAGCGCCAACACATTATTTTGGCTTTTGGTTTTCTTGTGGCGTCTGTGGCAACTGCTCTGAGTTGCACAAAGCGACCAGCCCGCCGAGGATCAATGGCTTTGCCAGTCACCCCAATCGGCACTTGCAGAACTTTGGCATGAATTGGCATGAGCAATGCAACAACGAGGAAGTTGTTTAGCTAAAAATGGTCTTCCATCTCATGTCCGGACATTTTGGCTGCCGTGAGCTGTCCATGGCATGATTGCGGGAAGCTTGTTCCACCTCAAAAACCTCTCTCTAGTTGCCTTCGAGAAGCCTGACTCTTGTAAAGCATGCTTCTCGTCTAAAGGCGCGGTTGCTTTCAGGACAGGCCGTCGCTGTTGCTGCGTTTACCTGGACCACCGTCCGTCTGGAAAGGCGTTCGTCCGAGCGTGGTGGGGTCCCTGGTCCGTCCCTCAGCACCACACCACTCTCGGATCTCGCCAACAAGGTGTCCTCCGCAGCCGCAAGCGTAAGCCAAAAGGTGTGATCATATGGGAAAGACAAAGTGGAACTAGTCTACTGCACTGTGAGTCTCTGGCTGTTCCAGAATGAAACTCTTTAAACACAAATACGGTTACAGGCTACAGGAAGTCTTAAGGAGTCCAGGGGAGGGAAAAGCTGCATTTTCGGACTGACATGACTGACAGGGGTTGCCTTTGAACAGGCCTGTGTCGCGTCTAATCGGCTTGTGAGCTCTTCCAAGTAGATAAGAATCTGCTCAAAGCCTGGCGGTGGTATTGAACGGATTGAAGGGCATTGACTTTTTGTGGGAGAGCATAGGTGGGCCTGAAGCACATGCATCCAGTGTTCAGGACTTGACCGGCGCCCAAGTTTGGCGTTGAGGCCGCAAAAACCATGTTAACAAAAATTTATGTCAGGAGAATAACTCCAGTTGCGACTGAGAGGAAGCTTCAGAATCAGTTCGATTGCAGGGTCATCCCATTGAATCCGGATCTGCGAGGTGAAGGTGCTCTATATCCACTACATGCACGGAGACCGTGGGATCTACAACACAACAAACAGATGTGTGGGTTTTAGTATTGTCATGGAAACTCCCTCTTACTTCAACACGATCTTGCTGCTAATCTGTAAGATCTGGTGGAAGAGATAGTCATGAGCCATCAAAGCAATCGAACAGCAGGACCATATTGCACTTGAGTCGTTCCCCACCCAGTTGCCAGTGAGTGAATGCAAGGTTTAGACCAGCCCTCACCGAGAAATGGTCAACACATCCTAATCCAGCACTTGCCAAAGTGTGTGACAAGGGGATGCACTCACTGGGCAAAACAACCCATTCTCCAAGTATACCTGAACAATGGCATCGCCGCGACTGGCACCATGGCCATGGCGCCTCGTCGCGTGTCCTTGGTCATCAGCAAGAGATCTACAGCTCGCGCTGCGCCTTGGAGACGCAAACAGCCACTGATGAACTCCTGGTGCGATGCTGCGCGGGACATCATGCGCTCCGCGTCGTGTCCGCGCGTGGACACGCGTGGGTTTACCCCGGCCGTCCAGGTATGGGGACGAAGGGCTCCGAAGCTGTGGATACAACAAGCAAAAAGCTGGTGGAATCCATACCCCCATCTCTGGTGGATTTCGCAAGGGAAGCCCATGTTGCTTGAAATAGGATGCAAAGCGTGGGTTGTCTTGTTTGGTCTCCAATCCATGCCATTCTTGGGATCCAAACACAAAAACCGAACCCGTCGAAGGAACCTTCGGAATCGAATCCCATCGAATGAGAGGTCCTATTCCCTAAAGTCAAGACGGATCACTGACTATAGGGTCATGCTTCCCTACTATGATTCGAGGAATGATTCCCTGCCCAATAGGACGTCCTTAATTCCCTACTATCATGCGAGATGATGACCCTTGGGTAGTCTAAAGGTCTAAAGGTCCGTCCAATGGATGAAGACAATGAGGTATTTCTCTGATTAAAGCTCAGGTCGTCGACGTACAAGTACGTGTCAACACCTAGACCCTCTCGGTGATGTCCAACTCCTGGAGACAACAAACACGATCTGGTGGTCCTCTTTGTCGATACTGCCATCTCCGCTCAGATCCAAAATCTCAAACAGCACCTCTGCTTCAGAGGAATCCACATCAATCGTCCTGCAAAGGGGGCCGCATGGCATGCGCCGGCAATGACGCTCGTCATACCGAAAAATCTATACTTAATATGCTTTAGACTTTAGACTTCATATGCCAAAGTTGGTTATTTACATACCAAAGGAGCCAAAGGATATCAAACGCTTTACAATGGTTTCAGAGTAGATGGCACAATCTCCAAGTTCAGTGGTTGTCCTATGGACCCCCATCTGTCTAAGACATACAGGAGTGCCAGAGTGCCATCTACTCTGAAACCATTGACTTTAGACTTTGAGTCTTCGCCTTTGACAGGTGAGTTCCACATCCGGAGACGGTGTCGGATGGAGCCGGCTTCGACTCCGGGAACGAGGAGCGGGGAACGAGGAGGTTCGGGCCTGAAGAAGTGTTGCACGGGTTTGGACTCCAAGTGACGGCGAATCTCATCAATCGTAATCGCCTGGAGGCGAGTCGCGCGTCGCGAAATCGAAGGCAGAAAAACGTTGGACGTTGGATGGAGAAAGCAGTCTTCATTCGGGATCGCATGGCCCCGCCAAACGGAAGATTCCCTACAAACAGGAACAGTGCCACCACATGGTTCATCAAACGCTGATAGTAACTGATCGAACGATCTAAATCAGCCAATTTGCTCCGTTGTCATCGATGTCGAGGCTCTTGAAGAGCCGCCGTGCTTGAAAGACGTTGTCCACATCCTGTGGAGGATCCATCGGTCATCGAGCCCTGCTCGTTGCTGATCGTTGCATCGACCCGGCCCAAAACCCGCAGAAACGCTGTGCAGTGTCTCCTCATACGTATGATCAGCATATAGAATTGCTGTTAAAATATGCTAGTTAAACCTACTTTATATATATATATTACAGTAATTCTATTATTGTCATCCCCCTCCAAGGGGTTAGCAATCTTCAGAGTTGAGTCGATCTTCCAAACGCCCCAACTGCTGGAACTGCTTAAGGAGGACTGGTGCCGTTGGATACATTCACATTTGCCTCAAACATGGGTATAAAAAATGGAGAAAGGCGACATACATTGATTGTTGTGTTTTCTTGTCAACTCCTCCATGTGTTCTCGAGTTTGCGAACCATCCCAGTTGTTTTAGTCTGGCAAAATCTATGAAATTGTTGAAAACATCCAAGCTGTCTTGGACAACATCCAAGTTTTAGTCTTGGACATTCTATGAATTTCAATATATATTATATATAATATATATATAATATAGTACGACCATGCTGCCATCCTGGTCTTTCTGTTCCATCCTGTGCTGCGCGACCCCATCAGGCCATCACCACCCGTCCTTCACCGATTGGGACCGCTCCATCGCTGCACTGACGAAGTTCCCGGTGATGATGTTCATCACCTCGCACGGAAAAGGCAGATCAAACGGTGGATCAAAGGCCGTGTCTTCGGTGTCTCCTTCCTGTTCGTCAGGTCAGGTGTCTTGGGTGTCTTATTGGGTGTCTTAGGTGAAAAGAGATGCCTGCAAATGTCTGCTATCTCCTAGGTCATCAGTGCTTTGCTGCTATATGGTATGTCATGATAGTTCTGTGGAGGACTCTCGTCTCCCGGTTCCTGGGTGCAAAACGTCTGAGCATGTCTTCAAAGGCCCCTTTTGTCCATGCTTCTTTACCCAGTCTATCAACGAAACAGGCAAAACCGGTCTGCGATCTGCATAACAGAGAGAGGTAAATCCAGCGGCAACTGGACAAAAGAAAGAGGGAGGGAGGGCAGGGAGAGAGAGAGAGAGAGAGAGTGAGTGTCATGGATGTTGTTTCGGCGTATGGGGTTCCAAGAAGCGTGGCTCATGGAGTGACCTGAGACATGTTGCACGGGTGGTTCCAAGGCCAATGATTGAAACTCCTTGGCCACGTTTCCTTCAATCCACCTTTCCAGAAGATTGACTCAACGCACCTCTTGTGGAATGCGGCCAAATCCGCCAAGACACGCCCAGCATGAGGAAGGCGATCCAAATCACCGTGGCTAAGCCCCAGCCCCAATTCATGTATTCACTCCTGAGTCTTCGAAGTCGAGTCGCCGAAGGCGGTCCGAACGGTCCAAACGGTACCGGAAGCCATCAATTCCAGTGACAGGACGGTCAAGGACTGGGAAATGCATCAAGGGTGGCCGTCTATGAGGCTGACCTATTCCAAGAACCATAACAATAGTCACTAGCCGTGACCCCTAAGACCTAAGTGAAACTCCTGCGCTACAGCGAGCATCTTTCAATCGTTCTTGAAAACTTCAGGTGGCAAAAGCAGTGTGCCTCGCAACTCCCAGGACTTCGTTGGCATGCATCAAAGAACTACCCCTAATCAAAGAAAAGAACCATCTTCTGCAACATCCATGCCCAATGGGGCACCCGTGTTTTTTTCCTTTTTTTCCTTTTTTTCACCACCTCCTTGTCTCCCTCCCAAACCCTTCACCCTCCCGAATTCCCAACCACGCCCCCAACCAAACGCTTTAAAAAAGACAACACCAAACGCTCTCTGTTCGTCTACACCTCCAAGGAGCAAGGGCTCCACCAGGTCCCGCCAGTCGATGCCGCCCGTTAAGGCTTGGAAGAGTGACAAGATGGATCGTCCCACCTCGGCCGAGTCCCACCGCGATCCGGGTGGACGGCGCCGGTGGTGCCAAAGGCGCGGTACGGAGAAATGCCACGGAACGCGGTACGGGCCGGAAGGGCCCAAACAGGGGGAGAAGAACAACGACCTTGTTCTTTCGACAACCGGTGAAGTTGACTTTTTCGCACAACAACCGTGCGGAGAGTGATGGTCCAATGGTCCAGTGAATGGTCTTGATATTTCACACGGGTGACATGGAACCCAAATCAACAGTTTTCCCCTGGGCTTCCCTGACAGTTCCAAAGTATTCGGCAAGCACTTCATCTCCTGCTGCATTCTTGCCTGGCGCCAACTTTTAAGACAAAGGCTACCAGCGGCTACCATTGCTAGTAGGCCATCACTTGTAGGTTGGAGGCCATTGCTATTAGGTTGGACAAACCAACAAGAAATCACCTGAGTCTCAACTCTCTCGCCGCACGGCTCGACGCGTCCCGGCGAAGTTTCGCACTCGCTTCTTCCTCACCTGTCTCAAGTCTGTGCAGATGAACGGATTGGGTCAGGTAGAGCCCATAGATGTAGACCAGCAGGAACACAAACATCACCGACCTCGGCATGATACAATATGACTCGTATAAGGAAATGAATTCATATACTATGAGTAGTATTCTCTTGGAAAGAAAGGTCAAATGCTGGCCAGCTGCCAAATGAAGGACTTTGCAGAGTACACGATGCAAGCAACCAATCTCCTGCAGAATGCATGCGACCGAGACATTTCAGCAAAGAGGCCTCCGCCCAAAACGACAGCTAGAAAGCATGCGAACAAAATGTGCTGCGTTGATGTGTTCACGTATTCTCTTCTCAAGTTAGGACATCCACAGTGCGACAGTTGTATCAATCCCAGCAGTGTGTTTCAAAACATGGGGAAAGCCTCACATACATGGACCATAGTCATGTCCAGGATTGCTCCAAAGGTAAAGCCCACTGTGGTTCTTTGGTCTTCGAATTCGAAACATCGAGGTCCCAGAAAAGATAGAGCCAACTTTGGTATTTGGTCCAGGGAAATTGAGCTGTCGACGCACTCCGTCCATATCAAAACACGAGCCAGCGCCCCCCACCCCCCGCTCCGCAGGTCATCGAAGAAGCGCGTGAGCCGTAGGACCCGAAGCAGGCGGATGCAGCGAAGCCTCAAGGTGGCCGGGGGGCTCGGTGGTTGGATGGTCCCGGTGTTGGGTAAGGTTGGGTGGAAAGGAACCACTGGCTGATTCATGGAAACATCGACACAAACACCTTGGACGCTGTGGACGCTGTCCAGAAATTCAACAAGCGGCGAGTAATTGGCTGTAATTACATGTAATTACTAAAGATCTCCCCAGCTTGGCTATGCACCGGCTCAAGGAGTCCATTGCTACATCCCATTTCAAGTTCAAAGCCATCCTCATCCAGCTCTGCCAAGTGGCGTCCGAACAATCCGCAGAACACCAAAGTCCATTCCTTAGCCATGCAGGGCTGCAGTACGTGAACCGTAGGCTTTTCAGGGGTCGAAACTCTTTCTCCATTCGACCAACTAGTGCGGGGGCCAATGTTGAATCTACTTTCACAACAAAACCACAACAGCCATCTTGGGGCCCATATGCTCTTCATGTCACACAACTAATATACCGTAACCCCCAAAACAGATTCAACTACCACATCCTACTGCGGATGTAGATAAATCCGCCATTGCAAGACTCCTCCATAGTGTCCGTTCGAGGCCAAGATCAGAATCTCCTCCAAGAGCTGGGCGAGGACCAAAAAGAAATCTAAGACCTCGGAGCTCAGCGGTTTTTCCACGGGAGCACCACGAGGCTCCATGGCCTCTGTAAACATGAATTCAGTGATGTGGGGTGTCCATACAGGCCCCTTTCGTGTTACCTTTATGCAAGAACAGAAACATGTTTGTTCAAGAGTTTTCCTGACACTTTGAACATTTATAACATGTGTATATAAACAAATAGCCTCTGAGCTCTCAGCATTCCATCCCCAACCTAACCTGGGCACGAAAACACAAAAAGGCTCTGCAGTGTAGCCTTCCAATGAAACTCTTGTGCTCTTGTTTCATCCCTCTCATTGGCAACAGGCAGTCTTGAAGGCACAGCTGTGCAATGGCATAGCCTTTTTCTCCATGCCTATTTGCTGTTGACTTGGCATGAGTCTCTGTTGCTGCTAAACTTTATAAACTGGCTTGTGGAAACCCAACAGCTCAAAAATGCCAAACAGTTTGATGGAACTGGATGTGAAAGGTTCTTCATTGGGACGGAGAATCAGATCATCAGATCTCCTTCCAAGTCGATCCTTCCAACCGAGGGTGGAACATGTAGAAGAACTTGAAGCCATGGGCCGTGAGTCTCAGTCCAACCTCGCAGGGGTCAAGTGCTCTTGGGCAAATGGGTTCAACTGGATGGTGCTCTTGCCGCAACACCTGATGTTTCATGTTTCTTCCCATCACGACCTCCTACAGTCTTTCTGCAGTGTTGCTGCCCAAGATGGACGTTAGCGGCATTTGGAAATGCTGAGTCCAAAGGCTCCCCAAAATTGCCTGCCTCTGTGGCAAAAAAGATGCAAATAAGAATGTCCATTGCTCCTGAGCACTCAATAGTTGCAAAATGTTCCGAGTAAGCCGTGTCGAACCAAACATGTCTTGTTTGCTGGCTGGCAGCCTGACAGAATCTGGACACTTGTCAGTGTGTACGTCTGGTCACATACACTACCGAAAAACTAACATGACCCTGAGAATTGTACCCTGAAAGGCCGTTTTCGTCTACAATTTAGTAGTTTGCAGATGTTGTAGTTTGCAGATGTGTTCAGGGTCCATGTTAGTCTTCAGTTGGGTACATACAAATGATCAACCGAAAGCTGCACTACATTTTCAGATCTTAACGGTCGATCGTGGGAGAATGCTCTCACAAGGGGGGGGGGTCATTTATCCCCCCCATTTGGGGTCATTTATCACCCCTTTCAATGTCCGAGAGCTATGTCCGAGACCTCTATGTCCGACGCCTCATATACATCCACGCATGTCCGACATCTCTCTGACTGTCCGCGACCTCTATGTCCGAGACCTCTGGGTCCGAGATCTCTGCGTCCGAGACCTCTATGTCCGAGACCTCTATGTCCGAGACCTCTGTGTCCAAGATACATCCACGCATGTCCGACATCTCTCTGACTGTCCGCGGCCTCTATGTCGGAGACCTCTGGGTCCGAGATCTCTGCGTCCGAGACCTCTATGTCCAAGACCTCTATGTCCGAGACCTCTGTGTCCGAGACCTCCATGTGCAAGACCTCTATGTCCGAGACCTCTGGGTCCGAGATCTCTGCGTCTGAGACCTCTATATGTCCGAGACCTCTATGTCCGACGAGACCTCTGTGTCCGAGACCTCCATGTCCAAGACCTCTATGTCCGAGACCTCGATGTCCGAGACCTCTGTGTCTGAGACCTCTATGTCTGTGTCGGAGACCTCTATATGTCCGAGACCACTATATGTCCGAGACCTCTACGTCCGAGACCTCCTATAGAGACA